CTATCCCTAACCAAAAGCTTCAGCCGAGGACCCCTAGAAAAGCTGCCCACCCCCAATCTCTCACCCACCAGCAGCCCTATCTCGTCCTCATTCTCTTCAATGGAGGATAGATCTCCTCTTTCTTGATAGAGCAGCAGCCGTCCTTCCCATTCCCCTTCTCCAAGAACGCCCAGCACTCCACCTCTCACAAACCTGATCATCCGCCCACCTTCCTAAGAAAGGATCATCATCCATGAATTCCAAAAAGAAAGCCGATAGCAGCCCACTCCATTAACAACCTCCAGTCGCCACCCCAAGAAAAGGGAACGAACAGCAGCTGCAAAAAAAGAGGAACGAAGACGACGGAGTTTGGGGCTGAGCAACTTGAATTTTCTGTTAATATATTTCAATGTATCTCGCTGTATTTCCATCTATTTCATTGTATTCATTGTCATTTTTTCATTATATTTCAATGTATCCCGTTGTATTCCATGTATTTCATTATATTCATTGTCTCGTTGTATTCCATGAATGTATTCATATATTTTTTTTAATTAATATAATTTATGTATTCAGATATATTATATAATTTCTCTGAAGATTACTATGTTTTTGGGATGTTTTTCGGTTTAGAATCTTTTTTATAACTGAAAATACAAAATTTGTGTGTTATAATTGAGTTTGTTGAGTTATATTAGTAGTCTATTATGTTAATTGATTCACTTTCCGTTTAAAAACAGTGTAATCCCCTGTTTCACGCCGTGAATACAGTCGAATACAATAATCTGTCCAGCTGTAATCTCATGTTTCAAGCCACGAATACAGTCGAATATACTCGAATACAAAAATCTGTCTAGCTGTAATCCCTTGTTTCACGCCTAGAAATGCTACTGTATTCATGAATACAATAGCTTAAATACATCGAATACACTCTAAAAAATCTGAAAACATAACTATAAAAAGTAATATAATAAATGATAGCTACAACTAGCTAATAACCACTAAAAGATACTCGTGTTTTCGGAAAGTTTCTCTTTAATCAAAACCTTGAACAACTTTTATTTTGGACCCAATGCAGTATATTTCTTTGGGATTTTTTCCTATCTATACCATATATGAAACTTTATTACTAAAAATGTGCATAATTCCATTATTACCTGCCATGTTTATATTTTTCCTACAAAATTTATACCATTCATTAAATACCCAATATTAAGAGCTGATTCCTTCCAAATTAGGCGCCTACAAATCTGGGATAAATATTTGAATAGCTTATTCCTTCCAAATTAGGCACCTAAAAATTTGGGACTAAATATTTTTTCCTATTCACATCAGATTTGTTTCCTCCTTTTTCTACAGGCTTCTCTTTCCTCATTTTTCACGTCCTCGCCCTGCAACTTTTAATCCACGCCCAGTAAGTCAACTCATGTCTTCAACATCATCCATTACCGAGATTCACCAGCAATTTGTTGCGCCTGAAGATACATTGGAATCTGATTTCGGGGAGTCTCCCATGAAGAAGAAAAGGAGAATCAAATTTTCCATTCCTCTAGCTCCAGTCAACAAATTTTCTACAAAAAATCTACAAATAAACTACAAATCAGTTTAAGTATGTATAAAGCAATATTGTTTTAATGGTATCTACAAATTACTACATTTATACTACAATTAAACTGCAATCTATGTTGGAAAAAAATGTTGACTACAAAATTTTCTACTAATCTACAAATTTTCTACAACTACAAATCAGTTTACGTATACGTATGTATAAAGCAGTATTGTTTTGAAGGGTATCTACAAAATTACTACATTTATACTACAATTACACTACAATCTATGTTGAAAAAAAATGTTGACTACAAAATTTTCTCTTTATCTACAAAATTTCTACAAATAAACTACAAATCAGTTTAAGTATTGTATAAAGTTGTATTGTTTTTAAAGGTATCTATAAAATTATTACATTTATACTACAATTAAACTATAATCTATGTTGAAAAAATATGTTGACTACAAAATTTTCTCTTCATCTACAAAATTTCACAAAAAAAAAACTACAAATAAACCAACCTTTCTTATTCCATCTTCATCCTTGTCAAAGGCCCATGACTACTACTTAATGAAATCTTCAGGGTTGTATATGTACCAAATTGGTGTTGGCCACAGCCACCGCCAGTATTTGGCGTTATTATTGTATGGGATTTACAATGGGTTTCATATTGAATCTCTTTGGCTAAAAATCTGATTATAGGTCTCATCTCTGTATTTTTTGAGAAGAAGAAGGAATGGAGAAGAGAAAGAAATGGGAGGGGGAAAACAGTGTTGGTCAGATCTTGGGAATTAAGGAGANTTTGAGTTAATTACATTTCAGCATACCAAATTATTATTTATATACCATAATTAATTAAGGAGTAAAAAACTGTCAATTAATTATACCTCTAAATTAATTATGGTATATAAATAATAATTTGGTATGCTGAAATGTAATTAACTCAAACCTTAAACATTAAGGGTAATAAAGTTTCATACGTAGTATAGAAAGGTAAAGATCCCTATTTCTTAACTTCATTTCAACTTCGCTGGACTATAAATGACCTTGGAATTGAAAGAAAACAGAGTCCTTTATGTTTTTCGTAATTATTGCATACGGCCACAGCCCCAATGCTTTGGAGGACCTTTCAATGTGTCAGTTGCTTTCAGAAGCATCTTTTGGACCATGTGTTTACATTTTTTTATTTGTTTGTTTGGTTATATAGTTAAAACGAAAAAGGGTTCAAAATGCTCCTAATCGGAAAAGGTTTAAAAATACCCTCATCCACCTATTAGGCTAAAAATAGCCCTCCATCCACCTTTTTGGTTCACTTATGCCCTTTGACTGTTAGGTCAATGCTGAGTTAAAAATAATTATTATTCTCTTGTAAAACTTAAAAATATTTTTCGTTTTTTTAAACTAATACACCAGTAGTCCACTAATTTAGTAAAGTCTTCTTCTTTTTTTTTTTTCAGTTTTTACAAAAAAAAAATTCATTTTTTACAAAAAAATATTTTTTTTCCTTTTTTCAGTTTTTTTAAAGCATTTTTTTTCTAAAAACTGAAAAAAAAATTGTAAAAACAGAAAAAAAATGTTTCTAATAAAATATTTTCGTTTTTTAAAAACTGAAGAAATATTTTGTATTAGAATTTTCTTTTCTGTTTTTTTAAAAAAACGAAAATATTTTTTCTTTTAAAAAAATGAAAAACAAAACAAAATGAAGTGTTTTAACAAACTGAAAAAAATGAGAAAAAAATATTTTTCAAAAACGAAATATTTTGTTGAAAGTAATTTTTTTCAGTTTTTACAAAAAAAATGCTTTAAAAAAACTGAAAAAAAATATTTTTTTGTAAAAACCATTTTTTTTTTGTTGTTGTAAAAACTAAAAAAAAAAAAGAACACTTTACTAAATTAGTGAACTATTGGTGCATTAGTTTAAGAAACAGAAAATATTTTTTTTAAGCTTTACAAAAAGAATAATAATTATTTTTAATTTAGTATTGACCTAACGGTCAAAGGGCATAAGTGAACCAAAAAGGTGGATGGAGGGATACTTTTAGCCCAATAGGCAGATGAAGAGTATTTTTAAACCTTTTCCAATAGTATAGGGGCATTTTGTACCCTTTTCCGTAGTTAAAATTTCAACTTCTCTAGTAGCTTTGTTTGTACTGAATATTTTTTGGATATTTTAGAGAAGTGATGTTATAGAAAACATATATTATAATATAATATGAAAATTGATTCCGGAAAAAGCTTGGCTTTTATAGTGAAGTATTGTTATATAGGAATACTGTTATAGAGGTCTGACCGTAGTGTTTTTTGTCGTTTCTACAATTAGCTAATTATGAAACTATTTTTAAAAAAGAAGTTTGGTCAAAAGCAATTTGTATTTGGTTAAAATCAATTTGAAAAGAACTTTTGAGCAATAACTAGTATTAGGTCAAACTTTTAAAAAGTATTTTAAATATAATTTTTTTCAAATGTGGTTTTTAAACAGTATTAGACGGAGAAATTACTTTTTTTTTACTTTTTAAAAACCAATTGTTTCTACTCAAAAATATTATTTATTTACTTTTAAAAGTTTGGTCAAACACCTTAATTTTAAACAAAAATACTTCTAACAAAAAAAACACTGCCAAACAGGCTATTATAGCCCTTTGGACGGAAGAATTTCAAAAGGCGTGATGATTGGATAAAATACTCCTTATATACATGTAGAGGTCATTTGGTAGCTGGTTAGAAGAAAGGTTATTCATGTATAAAGGGTAACATAACTTATACCATGTTTGGTAGGCAATAGTTATTTTGTATAAAATTCTGCATAACTAATACCATGTTTGGTTGACATTTTTCAATTATGCATAAATAATACATGTATCAGTTATGAGTCAATCTGTGTATTATTTTATGCGGGGTAGAAGATGGAATAACTAATACATGTATTAGTAATACATGGATAAAATACTGAAATGACAAATTTACCCATATCACTTTACACATAAGGCTTCCTTATTTCTCTGCCAACCCGTCAACAGGTTTCACTTGCTTTCACTTGCCAACTATATACCTTGTCTTCTCTCATTTTTAAAGAACAAACTAGCAAAAGCAAACTGGAGAAGCCACTAGAAAATGGAAATACCAAAACTAAGAAGTGAAAATCAAATATGTCTAAACTTCACATAGTTCAGTAGTATGACGAAGAAGTGAAAGTAACACCCAAAGTTCCTAACTAAATTGTTTCCTACATAAATGGAAAGAGAGAAAAAACAATGCAAAAGAAGGCCAGGGGTATAGTTGTAAACAAGCATTTTACTTTAAAATTTATATAATGTATATCAATTTCTAATACAACAAACCAAACATTCAAAAAAATAATCTCTGCATAACTAATACCTGCATAACTAATCCCTGCATTACTTATCCCTGCATAACTAATCCCTGCATAACTAATACATGTATAACTAATATCTGCATAACTCTAACCGGCAACCAAACGACCCCTTAGTGTAGGATATTTTCTCTTGTGTATAAATACCAATGTATCTGATGTATTTGAATCAAGTAATGGAGATAGTCATTCTTCAATTTCTCTCATGCTTTCTCTGTTCTTGACAGGTCTGAGTAATTTAATATAATTTCTTGAAGAAGGAAGAAAGAAAATCTATGCTCAGATCAATAATTATCATACCAATGAAACACCGCCTGAACCAAGCTCACACATTGTCTTCACATTTACTTCCGCAATAAGTAGTCCAGTCACTACCTGCACCATTTTGGATTTCCAAGAATGTTATTAATGCCAGAAAATTGAAGACTGGTTTAGGAGTGGCACGGAGGAGGGATAAGAGGAATTATATACGGCGGTCAGAAATATAAGCAATAACATTCTATTAATGTGGAGATTATTACGCAGAAGAATCCATAGGGGCACCCAGTGAATTAATATCAAATTTTACACTTGCACTTGTTTTCCACAAATTCTTGAGAAACCAGAAAAGAAAATGAAAATGGACAAGTTGAAGGAATGCTGAATCATTTACCATAAAAATCCAGCAAATAATGCAAACTACTGCAGACGCTAGAAATCCAGATTCTTGTGTGACTGCAGGAATAGCAAGAATACCTGCACCTACCTATTTACGACACAAAGATGTTAGTTTACTGCTATTCCTTTCAGTCATGTTAAATAAGAGTAAGAACATAGGTGACATGATGCCAAGCGAGAAAGAATCTTCAATCACAATATGCTCGTGAATTGTTGATATTCATGAAAGCAAGCTACTAGTTACTACCATCAAAAAATAAAAATATAAAGAGACAGGAAAAACTCATAAAATAATCATGTTTGAAATCGTCAACCTCCCTTTCATGCATTTCAAATTACTTTCTCATACTCCCTTAAGCCAACCAGATTCTACACCTTAATCAGGGACAGATATTAAGAAATGAGTGTCCATACAGGTTGCTTTTTTAACTTTCTCATGCTTGCATATACATGGCTCAAAAGTTATACTAGTAAAGTTCAATTAACTTTAGTTTCTGTAGCATAACATTGGATAGGATGCTATTCAGTAAGGTAAAATTTGGAGATCTATTGAATAGCATGAAAGAGGTGCTATTCTAATAAAGAAACAATTTTGGGACAGAGAGAAGAAGATCAGTTCTTTCAAAAGCAGCAGAAAGATTTTTTTTTTTGGGGATCTGTAAAAAGCAGCAGAAAGTTGACTGTACAGAAGTACCAGTTTTGACCTTAACAACCACATAAAATTTCAGAATGAAAGACAAGCACAAGTAAGCTTCTGGAATCTAAAACAACAGAAGAGAGGAGGCAATAACTCCAAATCTATGTGTTGCAGGGTCGGGAAGCATCTTGTAGCTAATACGAATAACATCCTCCTGTCTTCGTTTATTTTCTTGGATGTGCTATAGAAAGTCGAAAACGATAACTGTGATGACTTCTAATTTATAGGTAGTCAATCAGAGACATTCCTGACATTACGATAGATTCTAATAATGAAGAAGAATTACTTCATCTCTAAAAACTGGGGAAGCAAAGATATTACTAAAATATAATCCTCTAAAACCAGGGATTACATCAACGAAATAATAACTTTGAGCAGAACAAATCCGTCCATTTTCATAGTGTTTTGAGGATCCAATCGAAAGACTATTTTTAAGTGTTAATTTAGTCTCAAGAGAAGCAGAAAGAGCTTTATTTCTCGGTCATCGCTGATAAAAGTGAACCGAGCAACCCTTTCCTATATACATTTCACTCCTTTGTGTAAGAATAGTGCCTGAAACTAGTTCCATATCCACCAATATCAAGTCAGAAGTATCACAAAAGTTTCACACTGCAACTACTACACCTAGAACTTGACGTGACAATGAAGCAGCAATTACACGATTCTATAGTAACAAAGAGAATGCGGATAGCACAAACATAGTATATTATCATCAGATGCTGGTGTGTGATAAATAAACAAATAATATACACATGCACAAATCATGCATTGAGAAAGAGAGGGTAAACGTACAGTGGTGCCAGCAACGAGAAAAATGGCGCTGCTGAGGCTTCCTGAAACAATTGAGGAAGACAGTTAAACAAACACATAAAACATCAAGATCTCCACATAACAAAATTTCTAAGTGAACTTGTAACACTTGCTTTACATTCCGGCCACAAAGTACACAATTCTCGAATTTGATGTTAGTCCCAACGCTAATCCAACTAGACCAAAAAAGTTTATTTCAACGTAAGTGCTGAATGTTGAACTATAAGGATTGTTACTTCAATATCTCTCCCACCAAGATCTTCCTCCTAATTCCTTATTTCTCTAATCCCTTTAGACACTGCAGTGTTACAACCAGCTCAGCAATGCAATAATAGTGGGGTTAATTTCATTTACTCATATTTCACTTTATTTCACCAAAGTCACTAAAAAAATATAACGAAAAGGCCGCTCAACTTCACCTAAATAACCAAAAACTGGTTCAACTTTGCCTACACAGAAATTCAATAGGAGGAAACAAAAGCGACATGGTGATAGTGGATAGGATATTATTTCCATGGTACTTAGACAAAGTTGAGTGATTTTTTCTGTTACAATCCTTTAGTGATACTTTGAGTATAGTTTTACCTTTGGTAAAAGTTTTGAGAATTAGCTTAAGAAAATGGCATTGACTAGAACATTAAAGTCAAGCATGATGAAACAATGAAAGATCAATCAAGAAAACAGCAAATTACAAATACCTGCTTCTCTCTTCAAAGTGGCTTGATTGAGGTTAGAAAACAGTCTTTCAAAGTCATACACTTCTTCCCTTATACCCACTACTTCTCCTTCCAATATTTCTTCAGTTTTTTGTTCACTTGACTGTCTTTGGGAGTAACACTTGAACAAAGTCCGTGACTTAAAGCTTTGAGAACAGCATTTGGGTAAAATCTTAGTGGGTACATAACAAGAATTTGAAGAAAATCTACGAAATGGGTTTTGAGTATGAGGAAGGGGAAGCTTGAAATGAAGTAATAGAGAAGAGGATGATGAAGAAAAGGCCATTGTTATGAGTTACACAATAGAGGGAGTTGCCCTTTTTTGTTCTTCTTGTTGTATCTCAGCTCTACTGATCTCTCAGCCAGTTCTTTCTGGTTTTTTTGGTTGGTTGGTTGGACGAGAACTAGAGGCAAAAAAGAAGCTGATGTGGATTTGGAAAACTTTGTGTTATAAATGGGATAAATACAATTTAAAAGTCAACTTCAAATTACATTTTTTTAAAAATATAATCAAAATCTTTTCTCCCTTCCTTTTTATTTGGGAGAAGGTGGTTGTGGCCCCATGGATAACAAGTTGCGGGAAGCAAGGCTCAGATGGTTCAGGCACGTTCAGAGGAGAAGCTTAGATGCTTAGGTAAGGAGGTGTGAGCGGCTGGCTTTGGTGGGTGGGAGTAGAGGTAGAGGGCGGCCTAAGTAGTATTGGGGAGAGGTCATCAGGTAGGACATGGCGTGACTTCAGATTACCGAGTACATAGCCCTAGATAGAAAGTTGTGGAGGTCGAGCATTAAGCTAGGGGGTAATTGTGCATATTTCTACGGCGCTCCAGAGTAAGGCTAGTTTGTTAGGATTTAGCCTTACACTGCTAGTAATTTATGTTGAGTTCACACCACTCTTTTGTTTCTCGTAGTGCCGGGCGTTATCTATTGGTTATTGTTTTGTTTTTCATCTATTTTCTAGTTCTTGAGATGCTGCTATGTTTGTTTATGTTTTTTTTTTCTATGATTTTTATTGATGATACTGATATATTGCCTTTTTTCGTCTTCTTGAGCCGAGGGTCTATCGAAAACAGTCTCCTCGGGTGGAGGTAAGGTCTGCGTACACACTACTCTTCCCAGACCTCACTAATGGGATTTCACTGGGCCGTTGTTGTTGTTGCTGCTTTTCTCCCTTCCTTTTGTTTTCCCTTTATTTGGAAGGTTATTTTTCTTTTATTTCAGTGGGAAAGATATGGTGCGATTTCCTCATGGAATTTGTCCTTCGAACTAATTTACAAGTTAGGAATGTCACAAGCACCATAGGCGAGCTGCTTTCTAAAAAAATTGAGTTACTCTAGACATAAATCACGAAAAGATTAAAATCAAGTAATAATTCATATTATGAGTCATTTACAAAAACTTAACCCATATGTTTGATTAGTCAGTTTTCAATCGGGGAAGTTCTGGCAATCTCCAATTATTACTAATCAATTTAATTAAGCATAGTAATTTATGTAATTTTACCTTTTTCAGCGATTGAGGACGAGTTTTTCTGCACGTGGATCAGTTAAGAGTAGGTTTTTTCTAATTAATATAAGAAACACAAACCCACTATAATGGTATGTTATTATTCCTATATAAACCAAATCAAACAGCTATAAAGTTGAATTTCCAATTTATATTGTTGTCATTTTTAATTTAGATTTAGATTTTTATTTATACTTAGCGGGAACGTATTTGATTTGGAAGGGGGCTGCGAAGAAGGGAAAAAAAGGAAAAAGAAAACGGATATAAAACCAAACGACTGTATTCTTTTTCACTATAATTGCTCACAATATCAAGAGGGCAAATGCATCATAAGAGCCAACACCAAATCCAAAACACATTTACTGTTCTCTTTTTTTCATCTCTTTCTTTTTTATTCAGTCAAGTCCCTCCCCCACCACCCTACAGCGAGGGAGAAGAAACAAACTGTCTTGGTAAGCTAAAAAGGTCTTTCTCTTCAAAAGGAGAAGTCCACTCCCGAGAACCACCAGCCGACGTTTCTGCTTTACTTGCTTCATCGTGCAACCCGGGAATCGGTATACCAATCCCATTGCGCATATCAGGTCTTATGGTAGACTTTACAGCAACTCCAGGGGTAAATGAATCATATTTACGAGCATTGTTTTGCATAAATGAGTTCGTTGTTGGCCACATACCACCTGTTCTCAACGACGATGAGCCGCGATCTAAACTCCAGTCTATGTTGGCATAATCTAGCTGCAGCATTGAGCCACCGCCGGTGTTCCAGTCAACAGGAGACGTTGGCCCAGAAGTACCATTGGTGCCCAACCCGGAGAAGAGTCCAAGTGAGGAAGCTGCAGCAATTGATTGTGTCTGGGATGCACCTGTGTTACTCCACAAACAATTTCCCCGGCTAGATCCTGGTGATTCGAGTGTGCCATTGCTGGAAACAAATTGTTCTGGATGCGGGTGCTGTTGATAATGAAGTTGGTTGTACAATTGGTTAGTGCTGACACCATTCGTGCTCAGGCTTCTTGTGCACGGAATATGTGGAATCATACCATTGGGTGTCATTGTTTCAGCAATATTACTAGGATACCACGACACTGCTGTTCCTGGAGGAGATGAGCTTACATTTGAGGTGGGAGGGTGCCTGGCATTGATAGACTGGGGTCGTTGCATGACTATAACTGGTTCTCTCACAGTTCCTATCTGTAGATTCTTCAATTCATTTCCAACAGCCACATAACGAGCTTCTGTCTTGGGCGGTGGAGGTGATGCCTGCAAAGAAGATGCCAAAGAATAGGAAACAGAAGGATTTGATCCTCCATTTGGCCACCTTTTCTCAACAGGTACCGACACTTGTGGTGACTTGGCCCAGTCCAATTTTGGCGGAACCCTTTTCAGCAATGGTATGTTTTTGCTCCCAGGATCCAAAGGAGGCCCTGCTGCGGCAGCAACTTTAGTATAATTGAAGTCTTTCTCATCTCTCTTTGCTGGTATTGTACTAGATAATGAAGGTTTTACAGGTACTCTTGTTAGAATCTGGCCGGTGGTAATTGGTAGCTTGCCATTGCCCACGGCAGGAGGGTCACCAGTTTCTTCTGGCTTGGACGGAACAGAGGCGGGCTCCTGCTTTTGTGATCTCAAAGTCTCTTCAGCCTTTTCAAGATCACCCTCGCAGGCAACTACTGCTCTTTCAACCTCCTGCTTGGAGCACTTATATCTAATTTCCATGTGCGCGATGCGAGCAAGCTCTTCTGATATGTCAATTTTCAAATTAGCCCCAGTATCAAGATTGTGTTCCTTGTCTTTGTTTGCTTCTTCACCTCCTTCAAATAACCATGCTACTGACTCTTCTACTCTGCCTTCATTCAGAATAAGAGCCATAGTTGACCGTTCCAAGGAGAACCCCATAGCCACAAGCTGCTGAGCAAGTGCTTCCAGCTTTCTTGACATGAGATAGCCACTACACTTTTCATGCAACTCTTGTGCTCGCTTCTCCTTCTGACGTTGATGCTTCCTCTCATTTTTCTGACGGATTTTTTCCCGCTTGTCATTATCAGCACCAGGTAATGTCTCTTGTCGGGGAGGAAGATTAGAAGTTCTCTCTTTATGATCCTCCGACTCACCAGACCAGCTATCATTATTGGAAACAGCATCATACTCTCCACCAGCTCCGAGAGAGTGCCCACTAGGGTCATCTGTCTCATCAATGTTTCTGAAACGACCATTGACATGAAGAGCAGCATTCGAAGTCACAGGAGCTGTGTCAAGTGTATGGAATGTCCCAAGAAGAGGATTGTATCCACTAGTGGGAACCCCACCACCTGCATTTGCACTTGAAGGCTTTGAAGCAACTTTGGGTGGTTCCTTGCTCATCTTTTTATCCTTTGACTTGGACCTAGCTGCCGGAGACATTACTGCACTTCTAATTCCAAAACCTATAACAGTTGGGAGCTGTCAGGTCAGCAAATGACTAATGCAACTTTAAGCAGACAAGGTAAATTTTTAAATATATATTAGATACTCATTATTTTATCGGTAGGAGCAAAGAACCAAGCTATTTAACTTTTTGAACCGCATTTCAGCCAAAAAAAAATGCATCGAGTTTCTCTTTTTTCTTTACAAGTTCGAAGAGAAAAGTATCTTTCTGAAGTGCAGAGCTCAAAGGAAAGGATAATACAACAGTCTCAATGAAGGGCAGATGATAAGTAGAGGCCTGCACCCATCCCAATCTTTGTAACATCAAAGACAATTAAAATTGGATTATAAACAGAAGTTCTTTGATTTCCTAGGTTCGTATTGCATCTCAATATCAACTATAGAAAAGAAGACGATATGACTACAAATGAGAATGGACAACACCCAGTCGCCAAATAATTTTAAGTTCTTTGCCTAGAAAAAAACCCTCAGTTTTAGCTAGGCAACCATGTGCCAAATGTCCACACTGGCATTTCAACAGGCCATATTTAATTCATAGCAATCAGAAAAACAAGTTTAAAGTTTCAAATAATAGATAATTCAAATGATATAGGCTAAAACACTGTCCAAAATCACATGAGGAAAGGAAAAATGACCTACTAGCACATGAGAAAACCCGAACATATGTTATTACAGTATGTTTTCATCAATTATTTAAACTTGAAGAGAAAATAATTATCTGACAAAAGGAATTCTACTGAATGTGGTGCTAGTGGCAGCATGGTCATAAAACAAGAAAGGAGATTATAGCCTCACCACAATCAGAGTGCAAAATTAAGCAAATAAACATAACACGTGAAAGAGCTAAGCCAACAAGAAAACCAAGGCCCAATATAGGTAATTGGTAGATGAACATCCATCCAGGTAACCCAACTTACAAGCACGGGTTACCTTCGGTTTTGTTTCTACTTTATCAAGAAACTATATGGGTTTGTCTCTGTCACCCTTTGTTTTGTGCCCGTCAGCAGTTGTATGTTAAATGTTACTTCCAAATATATCTATCCACCCCCCCCCCCCCAAAAAAAAAAACCAGGGGGAGAGAGAGAGAGATGTATGTAACTAAGCTGTTCCACTGTCTTTAATGGCTCATTTGTACTTAAAATTAGCAAAAATGAGCAGCAAGACGTGTGCCTTCACCTTAGGCCCACCTTTATTTTCCTTTTACTAGCACTAGTGACTCACTAGGTTAGTCACAAAATGGGATTTTAATATATAAAAAGTTCATTAGATCACGAATCTAACAAGAATCGCTTGACTGTAGTGGCGATAAGGCTTTTCTTTTTCTTTCTTTTCCAGTATACCGCTATGCAAGCAAAGCAAAATAACATAATTTTTTTATAAGGACAATTGAACATAAATCAGACCTATTATGAGGAGACAAGATCGTTGAAATTATAAGAGCCGAACATCTTCACCATCTTCTAGTGGCAAATTGTAATCCCCACTTTGGTCTCTCAGAAAAGGGAGCTACCAAACTTACTCAAAGGAATAGCCTTATTATATGCTAATATTGGCTTGTCCAAATCCCTTAACTAGCACCCCCAGTTGACAAGAACAGTCACAACTTATAACATGAGCCCCAACAATGTCGTACATGGACCAAAAACTAGATAAAGTGCTCTAGAATGGTATACTAGTATTAAGAGCTCACATATTTAATACTCAATCACCATCCTCGTGTTGTTACAAATTCAACCTTAAAATATGTCATATGCAGACACTGATTTATACTATTCTCGCTCGATTTAGAAGCATAGCTTAACAACAGAAAAGACACTTAAATGCGCTGTACAGAGGAAGTTTCAGGAATGTGGATTTTCCTCTCAAAACTAAGAACTGCGGAGTGATTGATTAAATTACAATTATTTTTTTATTTTTATTGGTTTTGAGAATTTAAATAATAATCATTTTTACAAATACAAACAGAAAACTGAAAGGATACACCTGAGGGACGACCAATGTGAATCTCATGCATGGTCAAAGTCCTTACTTATTTTATCAGTAAAGTCCATGTCATTATTTAACACTTCATTAAACAAGCACATACGAGGGATTGATAATGTTTCACTTTTATTTTTTCCAGAATATCCTTTGCAATAACAGGTACACCAAAATCAAACCAAAGCAAGCCCTTGCCACTTCTATAATTAGAAAACATAGCATGTCGTAAATCCTCACACTCAGGTTCTTACAGCCATTTACAAATTCCTCAATGTCCCATAGGTCAAAAAATTCTCTCTTTCTCTCCATATGTGTGTGTGTATAACAATCCAGATTGAGCTATTAAAAATGTCATGTTATGACTTTATATCAAGTCAAACTGAAAACATATTTCATTGGCAGAAGCCTCTTAAGATGTGCACAGGATTGGCTTTACCTCTAGTCAAAATCAATAGTAGCAATTATCCTTTTCTTTTTTGTCCTTTTCTAAGTAATTAGCAATTATCCGTGATTCCTTTCTTTTCCACTGCCATATGCATACGAGCTTTGAAGAAATGAAAAGCACACTGAAGTAATATACATACTGACTTCAACATTATAATCAAAAACACCAAACAGTGTTACAACCATAGAATCAGATCTTAAGAGGAAATGAATATTCTCCACATCCCCAAAGTGGCTGTCTGTTATCTTGCATTTACTCCAGTAAGTTCCTTAAACATTTCTTTTTCTATTTTTATAGCAGCAAATATACTTCCCTATGCACCACGGCTAAGAATAAATCACCTGTCACCTTGATTTATCTTTCAAATGTATTATTAAAATGTAAACTGCTTGCAACTTATAGTACGTGTTGCAAATTTAGAATCCCTAGCATGGTTTGCATCTATTCGAGCTAAAACAAAAAAGCACTCAATTGACCAAAAACAAGATAGCACTCTAAACTATGGAAACCAACATTCCCTTATAATGTTACTATCAGATAGAATGACACAGCACAAAAGAGAGGTGAAAATTGGTCTTCTTCAAATGACTGCCAGAATGCTCAATCCGTTTCTCATATCAAATTTCCCTTCCTTTTTAATAAGGATGGTGTCTGGGCCAGCTTGCGTACACCTCGACCATATCACCGGGTGACTGATACCTCCCCCACCAGTAAAGGTACCGATCAAATTTCCAATTTGACACAATAATTCTCATCAATCAATCTATAATGCGCACATAGACAAACCCCCCTCCCACCCCTACCCCAATGCATTTCTTTAGCTAAAGAAACAATCATATACCTCTATATACGTATAAACTCAAACATCACCCAATACAAAACACACAAATGCAAGCATCCTCACTCCCATAGCATCAAAACACGAATTCCATTCTCCATTCCACAAATCTAGCAACTCCTCAACTACAACAACAAATCCCAAACCCTAGAACACAAAATTCAAAAGATTACAAAAGAGTTTAAAAGACAAACAAATTCGTATAATTCACCAAATGGGCATGCAAAAAAACGAAACAATTCAGAAGAATATAACAATCAGAAGCTCTAATAAAGACCGATCACAAGAAGACAAAAAGGGCGCGGGGTGGGGGAGGGGGGGGGGAATGGGAAATGGAAAAGGGAAAGATGAACGAACCTGTAACGAAAGAGAAAGGGACGGATCGATCGAGGAAAACGGTATGTGGGCGGTGAGAAAGAAGAAGAATGAGAAAACGCGGGGAGAGAGAGAGAGACGGGGAGAGATTGGAAAAATTGGATATAGACAGTCAGAAAGGGGAAGGGGGGGAGAGAGAGAGATATGTAATACGAGGCTGAAATGAAAACTGAATCAACGAAATTAGGGTTTTTTTCTTTCACTTGTACAATATAGAAATTGGATTAGGAATTGGATTTTTCTAAATTTTGGAATTTGGGGGAAAGATGGGGAGAGAGATGGATAGTATTTGTCCTTGTGTTAGATAGCTATAATCCTAGCATCATTAGAAAAGAAAATTGATGCGATGATTAAACTATTTAAAAATAAAATATCATTTTAAAAGTAAATAATTCATGTATAATAATCATTTCATTATTAATCACATCATAACAATTCGTTCATTGTTATGCATCACATAACAATTCATTAATTATTAATTACTAACATAACCAGTTTGAGCATTATAACCCTCACATAATTAGTGAGTGAAAATCCTAAAGGAAGAAAAACAAAGAGCAGCAAAGATTGATATTTTTTTTTCTTCCTTCTTCCTTTTGTAGGGTCAAGGTTATGAGTGGCATATTATAAGATTAATTTTTATGTTTTTGGTTTATTAGTCTAATAAAGTAAAGTAAATTCTACGTATGGGTTGCAACCTCTACCGATATGAGGGTCTAGAATTTACTTAGAATCGGTATTTTACGTGTTTGATGGATTGTACTTCTTAGCTTATGTATGTTTGTCCTTGTTTTGCAGTCTTTACAACTTTTCATATAGCCATTTTTAATAAGAATGCTCGAATTCTAATGTTTTCCGGTGATTATGCTGAATGGAAGAAGAAAATCCTTCTTACTTGTTAAAATATCATGGTATAGCCAGTTTTCACATTGGTCAATGAAAAATAGCCAGCGTTTATCAAGTCAATGAAAAATAGCCACTATTTTGCTGCAACAGGGACCGGTCCAGTATAATATACGGGAGTTCTGGTGCATTTGTGTACGAACTCCAGCATATTATGCTGGATCGGTATACTTTGCTAACTCCTGTAAAATTTGCGGGAGACTGGAGCACCAGTGCTCCAAACTCCAGTATATTATACTGGACAATTATACTTGCTGGAACTCCCGTAAAATTTGCGGGAGTTCCAGCATAGTTATCCTGGAACTCCCGTAAAATTTACCGGAGTTCAAGCATACTTATGCTGGAACTCCCGTAAAATTTGCGGGCGTATTTTTTCGGATTTTGAACAATGTTTTCGCTCAGATTTAAAGTGGCTAAATTTCGATGACTTTTGAAACTTGGCTATTTTTCAACGACCAGTAGTAAATCTGGCTATTTTTGAATTTCTCCCTCTTACTTTAGAGTGCTCGGATTTGAATCTGGCATTCTGTGTGGAAGAACCATCTATTCACACGGAATCAAGTATGCTAGCTGCTAAGGCTAATTATGAGCAGTTGGAGCGATCCAATCGCTTAAGTTTAATGCCCATAAAAGCCCACATAAGCCAAAATGCCAAAGCAATAGGGTTCTATCCCTAATAGCGATAAGGTCAAAGCTTATATGAAGGCAATTGATGAACAATTCGTAAGCTCTGACAAGGCATTGGTCAGCACCTGTCACGACCCCAATCCCGGTCGCGATGGCGCCCAACACACTGCTAGGCAAGCCCGACCAATTCAACAACCTTAACCCTTTTTATACAGTTCATGATTCAATTAACACAAATAATTACTATGTCATAATACTGAAACTCTGAAATATAGTTAAAACATGCGGAAAACCCAAGTAGAAATACTACTACACAGCCCGAAGAATCCGGTGTCACAAGTCTGAGCCTCTAATACACGGGTGTCAACCTACTACATAGTGCTCTAAAGAAATGTGGAAATAAAGCAAATAGGTTAGATGGGAAGATCAGGACTGCGGACGTCATGCAGCTACCTTGATGCCCCTAGATATGATGCTCGGCAGAGAAATCCTCACTCAGCCTCAGCGGTGCACCTAGATCTGCACACAAGGTGCAGGGAGTAATGTGAGTACTTCCAACCCAGAGAGTAATAAACATAAATAAAGGCTGAGAATAAGAAATCATGAATAGGCACAAAGTAATTCTATCTATACAGCAACTTGAACCCAATAGTATAAAATCAGTACACCAATGAAAACAATTATGAAAATACCACAACAGATAAATAAGTAAATGACAATCAAAATGCAATGCATCACATAGACCGGTACTCTCCAGTACCCGCTGCGGCGTGCAGCCCGCTCCATTTATTTATCGTCTCCGGGAGGGGCCCCTTACGGCCCAAGCGCAATAATAAGTCATCTCGTGGCATCAACTAGGCCCTCGGCCTCATATCAATATCAATATCATACCGCTGCGGCGTGCAGCCCGATCCCATACTCAGTCCAAAATCACATAAGCCTCTCGGCCACAATAAAATAGAAATATTCAGCCCAAACTTCATTTAAAAATATTAATTAAGTTTCTAGTTTGAGAAAAGGTGGCTGAGTTTGCAAATAGTATTAAACACTAGGAATGAGTTCAATGATATGTAAAAATGGTAAGAAACCGGTAATAATAATCCCTGAAGGATTCAATCAATTGGCACGAAGCCCAAACATAGCAATTAGCTCAATTAAAATGATAATAAGTGAATTTCAGTCAAATACGCAGTGTATTCATCTACCGGGACGGACCAAGTCACAATCCCCAACGGTGCTCTACCGCACGCTCGCTACCCGGTGTGCAAGTCACCTTAATATAGCACTACGATGTGCAAACACAGGGTTTCAAACCCTCAGAACAGCATTTACATCTATTACTCACCTCAAGCCGGCCAAAATCCTAGCTCGCTATGCCCTCGCCTCTCAAATCGACCTCCTTGCGCGTCGAATCTGACCAAAACCACAACGAATACGTCACATTATGATATAGGATCAATACCCAATCAAAAATAATCGAAAAACATCAATAATCCCGAAATTGATAAAACCCGAGCCCCGGGCCCACTTCTCGAAACTCAGAAATTTTTACAGAAAAGTGTTCTTCATCTTCTCCCGATTCCGTACATATAAAGAACACCAAAATTGGAGTGCGTTTGACCCCTCAAATCGACCCCCAAAGGTCTCATAATCTCATGCCCCAAAATCCTATTTTTCTACTGTTTTTCATGAATTAAAGGCTGGGATTATGGTCTATAATCACCCATAAACGAGTTTTAATAATCAAATCACTTACCTCTGTGATACCCACTGATTTTCTCTCTTAAAAATCGCCTCAGAAGCTTCTTCCCGTTAAAAAATTGGAAGAAAACTCGACATGCTCATTATAGGTATATTGTTCACGCGTTTTACTGCTCCCAATGGATTCCTTGTGAAATTCTAATCAATTTAGGATTTTGAATCACTCAATTTGACCTTATAATGAAGGAGATATGTAGGTTTTAAGATTTGTAAATAGTGCAGGTTTTTAATACGCCGTCAGGGGCAATTTCGTCATTAACCTGAAAATCTGGGCAACCTTGGTAAAATGGCCATAAAATCCTCATACGATGTCCAAATTCGACGATTCTTTTTGCTACGGGTCCGTAATTACGATACGGATCTAATGCTTCATTCAAAACAGTAATCGGAGCTCATTGTTCAATATAATATCATTTATGCTTGAAGAAACGACGTTGAAGCATAAGAAAAACGAGCACAACGCAGCCCAAACATATCCGAAACTCACCCGAGCTCCTCGGGACCGCATACGAACATACTAACACGTCACATATGATCATTCAAACTTAGTTGCACTCTCAAAACACCAAAACTAACATCAAAACACCAAATTTACATCGGATTCAAGCCTAAGTTCTTCTAAAACTTCCGAAACACGCATTTGATCAAACACCCAATTAAATCACCCCCGAATAACCTGAAATTTTGCACGCACATCCCAAATCACCTAACGAAGCTATAACAACTCTCGGAATTCCATTTCGACCCTCGGATCAAAATCTCACCTATCAACTGGAATTCGCCAAAATACTAACTTCGCCAATTCAAGCCTAATTCTACACCGGACCTCCAAAATAACTTCCGATCACACTCCTAAGTCAAAAATCATCCCCGAAGCTAACCGAATCATCGGAATCCACATTCGAGCCCTCTAACTCATAGGTCAACATCCGGTTGACTTTTCCAAAACAAGCCTTCCTTAAAGAGACTAAGTGTCTCATTTCCTTCCAAAAATCAACCCAATTCAACTCGTTCACACAAGACACTGATAATGAAGCATAACGAAGCAGGAAATGGGGGAAACGGAGCGGTTCTCACGGGACGACGGGTCGGGTCGTCACATCCTCCCCAACTTAAACAAACGCTCGTCCTCGAGCGTACCCAGAGTTGTCCTAGAAGCCAACCAATAGCTGAATGACCTTACCAAGCATATACCCGGGGGTGATCCCACGTCACCCTATCTCGCATAGGTCCGATAACACAACATAGCTGAAATTTCACAATCCATCTAGTCCATAAACCATAGAACAACATTGCACTTTCCGAAATCATACACAAGATCAGAACCTCACATCTATACTCAGAATAAGCCCGAACCAGCTATAATAACCCATACCTGCAACCTCAGGTGCAATCATATGATATACTACATAACCCAAACACTCGAAACGATAACTTCTATTCACAGCAGTTGCCCACAACACCCGAATACCGGTAGAAAACCTCTTATCAACCAAGGTCTTATTCCAACACTTTCATATACTGCCAACGATAAATGAAACACGCAATAAACCATAACCATTTCTCAGATCAACCATTCATGAAGCCACTTCCCTATTGACTAATACCACAGCAGATTCCGAGCCGAACCTCGATATTATCCTTCCAACTAGCTGAAATCAAATCCGTTCGTATTCATTAGTGACCCCAACGATCACCTCGAATCCAACACACCACTCTGGTGATATGACACCTCAATACAGGCCTAAGCCACAACTTGCATAATACGCGCACCAATAAGAAACGGTCTGAATATACTCAAATCATGAAAATGACCCCAAACGAAAGAGTTGTACCTCAAGCTCATCAGTACCATCACAACACAAAGCTGAGACCCTGTCTCACATCGCAGAAATAGAACACATGAATCTACCCCGAAAGGTCATATCTCCACGTAGCATCGCTACAATGCGCGATCCTAGCCAA